GTGTGTGTGTGTGTGTGTGTGTGTGTGTGTGTTACTTAAAGGTGAAGAGCATTACAACTGCATATCAGCGTTACATAAGTCTATGAGAGGCTCCCATGAGAATGCGTCTCTGTACTGGCTGGGCCGTATGCTTGAGGGTGGCGAGGATCCACTCTACGTGGCTCGCAGATTGGTCCGCTTTGCCAGTGAAGATGTGGGTAGGTGAATTTAATTGTCGCATTATCTCACCTCCACATTTATATATATATATTTATATATTTTAGAATTTTCCAGCTGCAATCATCCGGTGTGTATTGACCTTTTTTTTTTTTCCCCTGGCACAAAGGGTTTAATAAATAGCAAGAAAATCAAAATACACACAGAAAAAAAAAGATACGGGCACTGCTATCAGCCCAATAATTTTTTTTAAACATTATCAGTTCATCCCTAAGTTAAAGGCTTCTTACACTTTTTTCCAGTTTTTCTTCTCTACAATCCTAACCACATCTGGCTTTATTATGTCAGTAGAGCTATTTATACTTTTTTATTGTACAATTTTAAGACAAGATATGGCAATTTTGAATTTGGTGGCAGCAGTATGTCTCAGAAAAGTTGGGACATGGCAACAAAAGGCTGGAAAAGTAAGAGTTACTACAAAGAAACAGCTGGAGGAACATGTTGCAACTAATTAGTGTAATTGGCAATATTACAGCAACAAGATTAGATATAAAAAAGCATCTTAGAGAAGCAGAGAGTTTCTCAGAAGTAAAGCGCAGAGGTTCAGCAATCTGCCAAAAACTGCATCTACAAATTGTTAAAAAAAATGAACTAATTTTCCTCAATGTAACAAAGACTTTAAATATCTCATCATCTATAGTACATAACATTATCAAAAGATTGATGATTAAAGAAATCCCTGTGCATAATGGAGAAGGCTGAAAATCAACATCAGATTCCCGTGATGCTGCATTAAAACCGGGCACGCCGTTGTCATGGAAACCACAGCACGAGCTCAGGAACACTTCTATAAATCGCTGTCTGCGAAAATAGTTCAGAAACTACTGACTGGACTGAAATGACAGAGAGAGAGGAAGCTTGACAAAGTATTCATAATGTTTTTTTTAAAAAGTGCTTCTTATTCTGCAGCGTTGCATCCTTCTTGTCTTTCAGGTATGGCAGATCCCGCCGCTCTTACTCAGGCTGTTTCTGCCTTCCAAGCCTGTCATTTCATTGGGATGCCTGAATGTGAGGTAAGCTCAGTGGACCAATCAGTGACTGGAAGTCTCCTGTCTTGTCAACCCTAAAGTTGTCTTCACCTCAGTTTTCTTCCTTTTGTTTCATCTGCTGGTCAACAGGTGATCCTCGCTCAGTGTGTGGTCTATCTGGCATGAGCACCCAAGTCTGTTTCGATCTACAAGGCCTATGATAATGTGAAGACCTGTTTGAGAAGCCACAAAGGTCCCCTGCCTCCCGTCCCCTTGCACCTCCGCAATGCCCCAACCAGACTTATGAAACAGCTGGGATACTCGAAAGGCTACAAATACAACCCAGCCTTCAGCGACCCCGTAGAGCAGGAGTACTTACCTGAGGAGCTGCAAGGAATCAACTTCTTCACCTGGAAGCCCTCAGGCTCATGAGTACTTTTGTAAAAACAAAAAACACAAAAGTAAACACAGCAAACTGATTTTCTCCACATAAATTATATCCACTCAGCTCTGCTTCACTGCATATTATTCTGTAGTTGTCCAGCTACCCTGCTGTACTGACACACTGAACCACAGTTTGAAAACCACTGCTGTCATGTTCTTTAAAACTGAGGCTGCTACAAGTTAAGGCTTATTATATAAGCTGTGTATTTACGCTGGCAGTTAAGATTTTTTGCTTGTGTCACAAACTTGTTAATTACAAAGGTTAGAAAAAAATAATAAAAAACTGCACTCATTCTATAAACGGTCATTTCTCATGTTATAGTTTTTACATTTGCTTTGTAGTTATACAAATAGATCAATGACACAGTAACTAAATACACCCAACTCACCTTTGTATTTTCATAATGCTAATTCAGACTTTTTAAAACTGTCCATGTTTGGATTTATCTTTGTAAAACATGTATATATTGTTTAAAATGAATGAATGCGTTTCCTTATCTGTTCAATCCTGCATGTTTCTTATAATGTGTAGATGCTTAAAGGAAATGCAAGTCAGACATAATACAAACATTTTATTATACACTTTAATGTTCAGTTTCTTCACATGTTATGAAGTCTAAATCAGTTTTGGGCCGTTGTCTGCAAAGAAACATCACCAGAGTTTGTACCTGTCTCGGAGAGAATTTTCTTTACAGGGCAGTGAAACAGATTCCTGTCATCGACTTCCTGATTTGTTCTTTTTCACATATGAAATATGAATATGAAATATTCCAGATAAAACAAAATTTAATGTCAGATAAAGATAACCCAGGTAAATACAGAATGCAGTTTTTAAATAATTTAAGGGAATAAAGCTATACAACCCTACCTGGCCCTGTGTGAAAAGGTAAATGGCCCACTTAAATTATGAATTAACTTAGAAAACAGAGTTCAATTTCACTAACCACACACTGACCTGATTACTGCCAGGCCTGTTGAATCAAAAAGATCACTTTAACAGAACCTGTATAACAAAGTGAAGTATGCTTAAAGATCATGCCACGATCTAAAGAAACTCGAGAACAAATGAGAAACTGTTGTTAAGTTTCCAGATTGATACAAGTGGATGACATCTATCTGTCTATAAAGGTTATGTCACATCTAAGGCTTTGGGACTCCAGAGAGTAGACAGCCTACCAAAATTACTCCCAAGAATACATCAGCACCTCATCCAGATCACAAATGAACGCAGGACAACATCTAAAAAACAGCAGGCTTCACTTGCCTCAGTTAAGGTCAGAGTTCATGATTCAACAATAAGAAAGAGACCAGGCAAAAATGGCATCCATGGGGGAGTTCAAAGGTTAAAACCACTACTGGCCTCCAGAGTCACCCTGAACCGTAACACATACACTGAACAGCACTGTCAGTTTATTTTGCAAAAATATAACATAAAGTTCTGTGGTTGTTTTTCACATGGCATGCTGACTTGCTTTCACCTCCTGCACAGACCATTGTTGTCTTTACTGAACCACCCCACCAGTCACTTTAACTGCAGACGCTGTGATCCACCACCTGCTGTGGTGTAGCAGGGGGCTAAAGATCACAACACCAATCAAATCGAATGCATAATAACTGAGTATTTAGAATTTAACAAAGATGTGCCACACTTGACAATAGCAGTGGTGTAGAGACGACCCCACCCTGTGATGTAGCAGGGCTGGTTGTGGGTGAGAGTAGCATCAGGCAAGCCAGCTGAACCTCATCCCTGATAGTGGTTCTCTTCTCCAGTTTTAGTAGGGCAATGTCATTCCTGTGAACAAGGATGAGGAAAAAAATAGACTGTGTCATTGTTTTCCTCATCCTTGTTAAAGAGTAGAAAGCAACACCATATCCACACGACACACAGTTCCATTTGGGGTGTATGAATTTTTCAATGATAATGAACTATTCAGGTCCCTCCTCTTTGTTCATGTCATGCTCAGCAAGAACCACCCTGTATGTGTAGAAACTGGAATTGAAACGAAAAAGGCTTTCAGTTCATGTTTATGACACTTTTTTTAGTATTCAAAACGGCTGCTTATATGTGATCTGGCCATGAAAACACCAAGAACAAATTCGCTCTCGTGTGATGCAGTGTGCTGCTGTCAAGACCCAGTTAGGTGCAATTATTGTCCCTCCACAAGTGGGTTTGAAGGACCGCAAAGAAACCTGAAAGTAAAGGAAAACTTTGATTGATTTGGATCAGAAATCACATTCACAAGGCTCAGATCCTTCAGCGTTAGCAGCAAGCTGCTCTATATGTTTTATCAGTCTGCTGTTGCGAGAACCGTCTTCTTTGCTGTAGCATGCTGGAGTCCAGGCATCAAAGCAAAGGACACAAACAGACTGTACAAACTCATCTGGAAGGCAGAGTCTGTTTTTGGCATGAAGCTCGCCACCCTGGAGGAGGTGAACAGTGACAGAATGCTGGCAAGACTGCTGGCAATCATGGACAATGACTCCCACCCCTCCATAACACACTGGACAATCTGAAGAGCAGTTTCAGTAATGGGTTCCTTCAACTTTGCTATCTGAGGGAACGTTACAGGAGGTTGTTCCTTCCCGTTGCTATCAGACTCTTTAATTTATCCCCGTGGGTCACTTTTGTGCACCACAACATATATTTTCACACATACTTGTCCTATTATATTTATATGTATATTTAGATTTAGATTTATATCTCTATATTTATCTATATGTCTTAATGTTTATTTATTAATATCGCCGTTTCTACACTCATTTTGTATGAGTGCTTGATGTTTGTTGTATATCTGCTGCTATGACAACTCAATTTCCCTCTGGGATTAATAAAGTTTCTCTGATTCTGATCTGCTCATGTTTTTACGAGGCGCTCTAAAAGATGCAGTTATACTCCCTGCCACAAGAGGGCGTTTCATGAAAACGGCTTGTAGAGGAGCCGAAGAAGAAACTTTAGTTTAAAGATGGCGCTACCCGGTGTTTTACTCGTGCGTTTGAGAGCGCTATGCAACATTGGCAAATGCGTTCACAGTGGCTGTAAAACAGCGTCTGACTTGAGTAAAGAAATGCGGTGGTATGGGACCAAATCTCCAAGCTTTCAGATGAATGCGACATCTTATTTCCAGAGTAAACGAGGTGAGTGAAGATGCCGGTTAGCTAACGGGTGACAGCTCGCCAGCAGCGGCGCTAAAAACTCAAGGGCACGTCATTTAAAAGGTTATGGTTTGTGCTTGTATTTCGTAGTCTTGCTTCTTTTATCTCATATTTGGACTCCCATGTATCCACTACCGACAGTCACCTTTTACAATTTTTATTATATTTATTATTTAGTCGATAGCAGACGCCACCTCCTGAAGGAGTTTCCAGATCCTAAAAGCCTCCTGCACAACACCATCTCACGGTCACTGGGAGTCAGCGACCTCTCTCAGCTCATCCAGTACAGTTGCATGGAACATGCTGGTGTTAAGGTCAGCGCTAAAGTCAGAGCGAGACAGCATTATTGCTTTCACTGTACATGTGACAAAATCCGTTGATGGTGTTAAGCTTTGTGTTGTGGCTCCTCTGTAGAAGGCCACTGTCACGCTGCAGTGGCCCTGCAAGATAGAAGAGGAGGGTTACGGCTCAAAGAAGAGCGAGGCAGAGCAATTTGCAGCAGCTGCCGCTTGTCAGAAGCTCAGAGTAAGCTGAAAACCAGCATGTGAGTTTGCAGTATATGATATGTCTCTTTCTCCCCTCTCACCGTTCTTTGATTGTGTTTGTTTACAGGAAATGGGTGTGATAGGGCCAAACAACCAGCTCCCCAGGAGGAGAGCTGGCCGAGGGAGAGGAGGGCTGCATACACCTCTTCATGATAATGAGGATAATTCCTGGACAGGTGATATCTACAGAGGCAGAGCAAATGACCGGGCACCTGCTAAAGAGGATGACTCCAATGTGTCAGAAGCTCTTTCCTTGTTTCCACAACCTAAATCTCTGTTGAATAGGGTTATCCAGGTGGCAACATCGTCCAACAATATCTGGGTTTGTAGTTCACTTTGTTTTGGGCGGTAACAATCTGTCCTCTTTAAACTCAATGTGCATTGTAAGCTACCATGTGACTTATTACTGCAGGAGCTACTGCAGTTCAGAACAACAGGGGGGAAGCTAAAGAAGTGTGAACTGACTCTGCTCTGGCCCGAGGAGATGACATTCACAGCCAAAGCAGGCAGCCGGGCGGCAGCAGAGGCGAGAGCTGCTGCACTTGCCTGCATGAAGCTAAAGGTGAGTATTTGTCGAGAACTACTGTATCTTAACAAGTCAAGATTGTACTTAATATATGCATCTCACCTGCTGGTTACAGGAATTGGAGCTGCTGGATAAGGACAACAACCCACTGACACATGCCAAGTATCATCGAGAAAAGGTGAGGGAGGCTGGAGAGAGGGAGAGGCGCCCACTTCCATTGGAGATTCCAAAATATCTGGAGCAAAGCGTGAGAGAGTACCTCACCCAGGTGAGTCTTGGTACAAGGAGGATTAGTGGTGTTTGACTGAGTTTTGACAAAAATGTAAGTTTCTGAGTTTGCGCATTTTTCTAACAGTACCCAGTGACAACAGAGGTACAGAAACTATGGGAAGAGGAAGAGGCAAAAGAACAGCAGACAATAAACCGGAATGATGAGGAAGAGGAGGATTTTATAACAGATGCCATCACAGGCAGGCCGTACAGGCCTCTTTCTGAATCTGAGGCTCAGCAGCTCAGCATCCACCTGCAGGAGAGGTGGAACAGAGCGAACCCCGAACTGAGCCTCGAGCTCCCGGTCGACGCCCACCGTCAGCGTGTGATCTCAGCTGTGCAGGCCTCCAGGGTAGTTGTGATTGCTGGAGAAACAGGATGTGGCAAGACAACTCGGGTCCCTCGTTTTCTGCTGGAGGATCGCGTGAGAGGGGGCAGCGGGGCTGAGTGCAACATCTTGGTAACCCAGCCTCGCCGGATCAGTGCTGTGTCGGTGGCCCACCGTGTTGCTCAGGAGATGGGTCCAGCTCTGAAACAGTCTGTAGGATATCAGGTTAGGACAGCTGCATAGATTATACAATATCTTAGTTGAACACAAAACGATTTGTTTTGATTTCTCTAATAAGAGAAATGTATTTGCACAACTTCAAAACTTTGTCTTGTGCTTTAAAAATTAAGCTTTTAAAACTTTTTATTCAGTAAACATATTTGAAATTCCTCTCAGCAAAGCTGTTTTAGGGCTCACACAACAAAGTGCTCGAACTTTAATTTCAGTCATCACCGGGACATAAAATTATGTCATAGGTGTTTTTGTTATTTTTGATTTTATGAAGCTATCTAGATTACAGTAAAATGTTTGATCTGCCTGCACCTCTCTCTAGAAAACTTGAGTGTTGCAGCTCATGCAATGACTACAGATTTATATTAAAGTTCTAATTTTTGAGGGCCTTCCTCATATCTATTGTTTTTAACTATTTTCTGACATAAAGAGTAAAAAGTAGAATAAAATAAACTGGCAGTTTTCTCATTCTACCACATTGGTTTTGTAATTGAACCCTTGAATTGTGGCTGGTAGCATCGCAAGGATATGAAGGGTGGAGTTAATCTTTTCCATAGTAATGCATAATATTTGTATTATCTTTCTCTTGTAGGTGAGACTCGAGAGCCGACTCCCAGAGCACAGTGGAGGAGCGTTGCTCTTCCTCACAGTGGGCGTCCTGCTGAGGAAGCTGCAGTCAAACCCAACCCTGAAGGGAATCAGCCACGTGGTGGTTGACGAGGTCCACGAGAGAGACATAAACACAGACCTGCTGCTGGCTCTGCTGCGCACAAGCCTGAATGAGAACCCTGACCTGAGGGTCGTTCTCATGAGTGCCACTGGGGACAACGAAAGGCTGGCTCAGTACTTTGGCGGCTGCCCGATCGTAAAGGTGCCAGGGTTCATGCACCCAGTACGAGACAAGTACCTGGAAGATGTACTAAAAGAGATGGGGCGTCGGTCTCAGGTCCCAGAAAGGGCGAAGACGGACAAAGAGGTGGAACTCACATCTGCCACATTTTTGTTTTTCACACATTTTCTTTTTTTCTTTCCAAACTGATGAGTTGCTCTGCGTCTTCTTCTTGTTTAGAACGATGCCACACCGGATCTCGATTTTGTCGCTGATGTCATCGAACACATTGACAGATGTGGAGAACCAGGTGCCTATTTTACCAAGCTGTTAATTCACTTTAAATAATAGTGTTTGAATTTTGGGCAGAGTCATATTTTACAACAACTCCTCTCCCCTCGTTCTTCAGGTGCAGTGTTGTGTTTCCTCCCGGGATGGCAGGACATAAAGGCTGTTCAAGAGAAGCTCAAGGAAAAACCGCGCTTCTCCTCTGGCTCCCAGATGATCCTGCCCTGTAAGTAAGGCGATGGATTTCCAGAGGCCAAAAAGGTTCCCCACCTATAACCAGTTTATAATTGGTTCTGCTTTTCTTTTAGTGCACTCAAGTTTATCAGTGGCTGACCAGCAGGCTGTGTTCCAGCGCCCCCAAGTGGGACAAAGAAAGATTGTCCTGGCCACAAACATTGCTGAGACCTCAGTTACAATAGATGACATTGTTCACGTGGTGGATGCAGGAACTCACAAAGAACAGAATTATGACCCAAGGACTAAGGTTAGTATTGACATTTGATTTTATTCCAGGAAAATGTCAGCAAAAGTAATCTCTTTATTTATTTCGCCCCAGGTGTCCTGTCTGGATACAGTTTGGATTTCCCGTTCAAATGTTACACAAAGAAAAGGGAGAGCAGGCCGGTGTCAGCCGGGACAGTCCTACCATCTTTTCTCAAGAAAACAGCTGGAATCCATGCCTCCCTTTCCCATCCCTGAGATCCTGCGCATCCCACTTGAGAGTTTAGTAGTGCAGGCTAAAATCCACAGTCCAAACTCAAAGGTACAGGAATAATTTTTTCCCTGTTCTTTCTTGCCTGTTCTTTCTTGTATCTGTATTTACATTTTTCTTCTATTTTATATTTATTAATGGCTTATCATTTTTGGTGCTTGTAGGCTGTAGATTTCTTATCCCAAGTATTGGACAGCCCAGAGCCAGAGTCTGTGAGAGACGCTGTCCGTAATCTACAAGATATAGGTAAGCGCGTCTTTGCTCGTCTTTGCTCGTCTTTACTTGTCTTTACTTGTCATTTTGATGCACTTTTGTTTTGCAGGAGTCCTGGACAGGACCGAAACACTGACTCCATTAGGGGATCGTGTCGCCTGCATGTCATGTGACCCACGGCTGGGCAAAATATTAGTCCTGAGTAGCATGTTTAGATGTGTTATGCCTATGTTGTCTGTAGCTGCCTGTCTTACTAGAGACCCTTTCCACAACAGCTTGCAGAACAGAGCACTAGTCAACAAGGTGAGAGGTCTTCACCATAATAAATTTTGCCATATTTTTGTTTGCTAAGCTGTTACTGAGTCGTCTGCTTTGTTTGTTCAGGCCAAAGAGGCTCTGAGTGGCTCAAGCTACAGTGACTATCTGGTGGTCAGTAGAGCTGTTCTGGGCTGGAGGAAAGTTCAGCAGGACGGCAACCGAGAGGACAGGGATGACTTTCTGGAGAGACACACCCTGTCCAAGGCCAGCCTTCGTTTTATAAATGGTCAGTCTTTTACACCCTGTCTCAGTCCACTTTTGGAAGTTAAAAATCCCTGCCCTCTTGTTTTTTGCTAAATTCAAATATTTCTGTCATCTGATCCTATTGCAGGTCTTATATCTCAGTTCAGTGATAATCTGCATGACGCTGGACTGGTTTCTCATCCCAGTGACTGCCAGCGTTACACCTCTCTCTACAATGAGCACAGCAACCAGGATGAGCTGCTTAAAGCTGTACTGCTGGCTGGGCTGTATCCCAACCTCATTCAGGTACATGACAGCTACCCAGACTGACTTTCACTGCCTATATCCTGCTATAATTCCCCCCCCCCCCCTTCCTCATAACAGTGATGTAACGGTTCTATAAATCTACTTGAGCTTTTCTAGGTTAAAGCTGTATAGGTGTTTGTGTTGAATCTGACATTGCATTTAAATTAGACCTGGTTTGTTTTGTTCTTTTGTTTTTAGGTGAAGAAAGGTGTTGTGACTAAAGGAGGACGCTTTCGTCCCAACAGCATTTCTTTGCGAACACTCAGTGGGCCAGTGCTGCTTCACCGCTCCTCAGTGAACCGGTCAGAGCATGCCCTAAATATTGAGTTGCATCACAAACAGACTTGATGTGCATGTAAAGTTTGTTTTCATTTTATATTGTAGTGGGAAAGAAGACCTCCCTAGTCGGTGGTTGACCTTCTTCAGTGCCATCAAGTCCAACGGGAATGTTTTCATCAGAGACTCTTCTGCAGTCCATCCACTCGCTCTGTTGCTGCTTACAGACTGCGATATCACAGAGATGGGTAAGATGTTTTCTGCTCTCCCTAAAGAATGCATTTGTAGCACAGGTTGGAGGATGGTAATCTGACTGAAGTCCTTTGTTTGTGCACGTCTCTGATCAGCTGAAAATCTTGTTGGTTTAGATGTGTTCAAGTGCTGACTAATGCTTTTGGGCTGTTATGGAGTGCTACAGTAAAAATGAAATTATTTCAACTGTGCAAGTCTGTCTACATGTTTGTAGTTTGCATTTTAGACAAGCACCAAAAATGAAATCATCCCTCTGCATTAGCAGACTTGAATTCTACTCTTCTTTTTCTTGTGACCAGTGCATGGCGACAAAATAGAAGTATCATTTTCTGGACGATCTCTGGTGCGCTGTGAGCTGCAGGTTGAGACGTGGGAGCTGCTCTGGGAGCTACGCACTTCCATTCAGACCATGCTGCACCGAAACCTCAACAGCCCCAGTAACACAAATGCTTCTCAAGATGGAAAGCTCATCTCTTTACTAGTAGAGCTGCTGAACAATACAGATTCAAACCCTCTTGTTCACAGCAGTGACAGTGAGGTGGATTGATAAGACTGAGGGTTTTCTACATGTCTGCTGGCTCAGACAGATTAAGTGGCTGATGATTTGCTGTTTTGACATCACTTTCTTTTTTTCTTTTCTTTTTTTTTTTTTTTTTCCCCCCCTATTTTAGTGCTGGATTCCAATGTGAAAGCACGGAATTTATCAGGAACTCTTTAAAGAACACACTACTAATTATTTTTTTTTTTTAATTTTTTTTTTAATTAAATTTTTAATGATGGCTGATGTAAGGCCTCATTTGAATTTGGAACTTGTAATAGGCGGTTAGTTGCTTTCTGAAAAGCTGAAGCTGTATCTTACTCTAATGGGTAGTGACAAAAGATGGCTGACCAAAGATTGTATGCAATAAATGTCATATTTATTAAAATCAACATCGCTGTTTCAAAAATTGGTTTGATTTTCTATATAGAGTTATGGGATTACAGAAAAAGGAAAGTCCAATGGGAACTTTGTCTTTAAGAAAAATCCTTCATAAATGTCATGTGGAAGCTGCTCAGGCGTCTCAGTAATTCCTCCATGATGTCCTGAGGGACCGCGATGCAAAATCTGCAGGCAAAAAAAAAAAAGACTTTGAGACTTGGACCATGAAATGAATCCATCTGCAGTCTAAACACAGACTTCTTTTAACAATAGAAATTATTTTTTGTTTTATACCAAAAATAAAATTGCTTTATATAATATCTATAATTTCTCAATGATGTACTTTGAAGAGTGCCCGACTTGTGTTGTACCTGATGTGGTAGGTGCCCTCCTTTTGTCCGTACTCCCAACCAGGACCGGTAAACACTCCACCTTCTTCTAGCAGTCTCGTACAGTAGAATGTGTCTGGCTGCAGTCCTAATTCCTGAAATATCCAAGGAAAACAACAAACACATTTCAGGAAAATGAACCAGGAGAAAGTTCAAAGGGCTTCAACACAGATTATGTAATACATCCTCTTGCATTTCTGCTGTAACCTTGGCTTTCTGAATAGCTTTTGGTGTGAGGTGCAGTCTGGGGAATGCAAACAATCCTCCTTCAATGGGTGGGCAGCTGAATCCCGGTAGGCTGTTGACAACCTCGTGGACTTTCTTCACGCTATGAAGCAGCACAGTCCTGATCTGCTCAATTTCCTGCAGAAGACATCAGCTTGTAGAAAATGGCAAATTCTTTATCAAAAACAGCTACAGTGCTACATGTAGTTGGTCGTCCTCAGCTAAACAAGAGTACAGTTCTCAGGTCCAACCTGTTTATAGAGCAGGTACGAGGGGTCTCCTGGCTTTGGAGGGTCCGTCATCAGATCCAGGGCAATCTGACCTAAAACTGGTGAACAAGCATCTTTGGAGAACAGTGTGTGGATGTATTTCATGACAGCAGGATCCAGATTTACCAGCTCGACATATCCAGCACGGAGACCACACCTAATGAAAGAGACTTGCATGTAGAAACAACAAAAACGTAGCTGTTCTGGAGCTTTGCTTCTCATGATCACTCTCAGTGGATGACAGTTTATCACTGAATTTCATTGTTTTGTTTTGTTTTTTTCATTTCACACTATTCCTACCAACCCACTGCACGCCCTTCTTTACGACATCCTATGAAGATTTCTTCTTTACTTCTTGCCTGCCAGCTCAAGAGGACTCGTACATCAAAGCTCAGGTTGAGCAGTTTGGAGACATAGTTTGAGACCGAGATGGTTTGGACATGTGCAGAGGAAGGATAGTGGATATACTGGACACAACCTTCCTTTTCACTCTTGCCATGAAATGCATCCCCATCCTCTCCACCCTGCTTGCACTCTTAAAAGCATCACTGCTACACCTGTGATACTTTTAAGTTCCGCATTTTAGCTTGTATAAGAAGTGTTTAAACTTACAATGAGACTCTGGTCAATGATCTCTTTGTTCATACCAGTCTAAAGAAAATGTCCAAAGCTATTTTAGCACACTTGGCACTAATTTGCATGAATTTCAAAAAGACATTTCTACAATTAACACCGAAAATATATGTTAAACACACAAGTGTAATTGTCACGATGCAAGTTGTGCAATGCAATCAACTTTGGAAGATTTTACCTAACAGCCATAAAAGACTGACAGACAACATGGGCACCCAAGTTTGTGAATGTGATAACTCGAGAACAAACTGATGTAGGAGTTTTAAATTACATCATAGGTGTATCTACTAGAAGGCTGAGAGGTGCCACTAACTGCCGCCAGTATCAGGGTAACCATTGCACTGGTTAGCATATTAACTTGGCTGCAAGGAGGTTCAGGGGTCAAACCTGCTGACCAGCTGGAGTCTCTCCCTGTGCATATGTGGGATTTGTCCAGGTTATCTAGCAACCTTTCAGAGTCCAAAGATTGCATGGTAGGTTAATTGGTGACTTTAAGTGTGAATGTGTTTATAAATGACTGTCTCTCTGTGCTGGTCCAATAACAGCCTGCCAGCCTGACTAGGGTGTATCTCACGCAGTGACGCTAAGGTACCCAAAAATCTCCTCAGAACTTGTTTTTTTTTTTCCACTAGTATATCCAGTGTTCAGATTTCTCTTCTGAAAAAAGCATAAACTGTAGAGAGTAGCTTATGTCACATTTGTGTTTTTCAAGATAAGATTTCTTAAAACTCAACAATACAGAGAAATAATATTTGTAATGCAGTTAACAAACTTGAGAAGTTTGGTGTATAAGTTTTTAAAAATCCTGATCATCTTTGTAGTTGTGCAAATAATGCACAATAGCACTTATAAGTATCAGTGAGCAAACTAATGTCTTCATCTTTTTGATCTTGTAGTGAGATTGCTTATTTGACTGCTTTATTTCTTTAAATTTCAGTTTAATTTTTGCCTCAAGCTTTGTGAGAATCATCCATTACAAACCAGATACATATCTGGACTGAACACATACTCTCCCGAGAAGCCTTTGGACACTGAGTGAAAGGACGCCAGCTCCACTGTGCCTGAGAAAGGAGGCCCCATCTCGCTCACAGCCCTTTTGTAGGAGACAAACTCACAGTTTTCCCCATAAACACGGTCCTGATAGAGCTGCAATGCAACATGTAAACATCCATAAGTTCCTTTATACAGATGCATTTGGTTTTTAAAATATGCTTGCATGGATGATAATAGCTTCTCCACCTCATCAACCAGAAGAAAGAGCCTCTTTTCCCAAGCAAACCGGATCACCTCTAGCACTGATTTTTGACTCTGAACATAACCTACAGGCAGTGTGGCATAAAAACAAGGGTATAATATTCATCCTGTAACACAAAGAACAAACACTTACAGTAGATGATCCCCACACTGGCTGGAATAAATACCTGCTGGATTTCCGGGGTTGATGACGTACAGAGCCACAGGATTACAGACTCCCTTTGCAGATTCGAGCGCTCGCTGCAGCTCTTCCACCTGCAGCGCCCATCCCTGCTCCTCACTCAGGTAATAAGGGACGGCGACTGCACCCAACTGCGTTATGGACAACACGGTTTTGTTGTGGCATGGCACTGGAATCAACACACCTGTTCTTGGTGAAGCCTCACGGTTCACTAAGACATTGAGAATGTTCTAGAAAGCACAGAAAAGAGAGATTGTGATGATCCATTAGAAAGCACATACACATGGCCTTATGGCCTCTGACAGTGAACTCATCTCTGTGCTTCTCCTGCTAGACCTTAGTGCAGCGTTCAATACTGTTGACCATAATATCCTATTAGAGCGATTAGAACATGCTGTAGGTA